TCCTTCCTTCCTTCCTTCCTTCCTTCCTTCCTTCCTTCCTTCCTTCCTTCCTTCCTTCCTTCCTTCCTTCCTTCCTTCCTTCCTTCCTCATAATTCGGACTAAAATCATACAGTGCATTAAAAACAACCATTAGAAGCATTCCTCTGGAACCAGGAGCCACAAATTAAAAGAACAAAAATCAAGGGAAACCCAATCTTATGGCTGAGAGGCGAATACAACATTCCACCTTTCCTGGTTTGGTGGAACAAGCAAGTTTTCACCAGCTTCCTAAAAGAGAAGGGGCTGGTTGGAGAGGGTGTATGAGACTTAAAAGGCACTTACGGGGCCCCTGAAGATGACACTCTCTCCTTAAGGGGCCACATAGTGCGTCTACCCTACTGGACCTACAGGGAGAAGGTGGTTCTGCGGGTACCCAGGCCTCAACTACGGTGGACTTCAAAGATGACAACCAGCACCCTTAAGCCAATGGGCAACCAAGTCAGACCCTGGGGCAGAGGTGTTAGCTAGGTGCTTGAAGGTGCACCCATCTTGACCAGCTTCTGGACCAGTTGTGGTGGTTTCTGAACACTCTTCAAGTGCAGCTTCATATACAGCAGATTGTAACAGTCCAGCCAAGAGATGACTCAGGCACGGGTGACAGTGAGTAATGCTGCTAGTCCAGGAAAGGTCACGATTGGTGCACAAGGTGGAGCTGTGCAAAGGCCCTCTTGGTCAAACCTGCCACCTGCTCCTCAACCAGGAGCTGTGAGCCCCAGAGAAACCCCCGAGACTTTCATTTATATACTCCTACATCAAAAACTCCTCAAAGCGGGCTTGGCTGGAGAGGAACTCCCACCCCAAACTGATGGCTGTCCCCAAAGATTTGCAAACTATTTTTCAAACAAACTCCCTCAGTTTGACGATCTCCAGGTACGTTTGGCTCCTAAATTGCCAGCCAACAGAACCTTCAATCTGACATGTCCGGAAGGTGCCGGCCGAGACCGTCGGTCTAGAACTCCAAAATATTTGAAAACGAAATCTCCCCAGCCACATACTTGCACTGGTAAGTGAAGGCAGAAGAGAACTGGTTGGTAGACTCTGTCCTGAACAGGACAGTGTTTCCTAAATTATTGGTTTAAGGATCATAAGCATTTGGCTTCCAGGAAGATGCTGGTTCTGGACAAACGTGAGCAGTTTAATGGCAATCCACGCCCCCCCCCCCTACCAATTCCCCCCCCCCCCCG